ACAAAGACTAAAAGAAACAAAGAAGGACATTACATAATGGTAAAAGGATCAATGCAACAACAGGAGTCAATGATCATAAATATATATGCACCCAATATAGGAACACCCAGATACGTAAGACAAGTTCTTAATGACTTATCAAGAGACTTGGACTCCCGCACAATAATAGCGGGAGACTTTGACACCACATTGTTAATATTCAACAGATCAATGAGATAGAAAATTAACAGGGACATGTATGATTTGAACTCAGAGCTGGAACAAGTAAACTCAGTGAATATTTATAGAATTATTCTCCCCAGGTCCACAGAACATACATTTTTCTCAGTATCATATTATACCTATTTTGAAAGTGACCACATAATTGGAAGTAAATCACTCTTCAGCATTTGCATAGCATTTCACAGACTTAAATGAAATATTAGTTGGCTGTTTGTTTGTTATTTTCTTCCCTTATTCCTTCCTGTCTCCGCTGTTAAGCACAATTATCAGCATAAAAGAGGTTTTCAATACCTATTTTTAGACTGCATTCCAGCCTGGGCAATAGAGCAAGACTCCTGTTCTCTCTCCCTCTTTCTCTTTCAAAAAAAAAAAAAAATAGCAATACCAGAACCACAGGGCACTTGAACACTAAAACAAGGAATTTGTAAAGTACATCAAAAGTTCTAGTGATACTCTGAAAATGTATTTTAAAGATGGCAAAACAATAAATGTGTTCATAAGTGCCAACTGACTAGTTTATCAAACCAACATACTACTTCAGATCTTCAAAACTGTGGCCTGAAAGTTGTATACGTCATAAGAGAGATATTTCTCAGTAGCAGTATTTAACTGTCTTTATCTGTAAACTTTAAAGTTCAGCTGTATAAGTTATCAGCCCCTCCTGAAGGAATCTAGTCCAGGATGTTGAATGGGATTATTGCCATTTTACGCTATATTTTTGTAAAATGTAGCTTCATCATAATCTCACACTGAAGGTTTTGAATCATTTTTGCTATTATTATTCTTTTAAGAATTATAAGTCAAAAGAATGTACACCTTAATGTGTCATTATATAACATTCCTTAAAATAATTGTAGATATTGGTGTCGTTTCTGACATTTTAACTTGAAAGTGATACGCCACAAGATAATGTATTTAAGAATATTTGACTGCAAATATTCAATATATAGTATATATCTGTTAAACATCTCTTAAAAATGCATATATATGTGTGTGTATATATGATCAGAATATCAAGACAATGTGGTGTAATGTCTAAAAAACTTCTAATAGGAGCTTATTATAGCAGTTTATCAAAAATAAAGGGCTCGGCACCATGGTTCATGCCTGTAATCCCAGCACTTTGGGAGGTCAAGGTGGGAGGACCACCTGAGGTCGGGAGTTCGAGACTATCCTGATCAACATAGAGAAACCCTACCTCTACAAAAAATAAAAAAATTAGCCTGGCCTAGTGGTCCATGCCTATAATTCTAGCTACTCGGGAGGCTGAGGCAGGATAATCCCTTGAACCAGGAGGCGGAGGTTGGGTTGCAGTATATTGAGATGACACCACTGCATTCCAGCCTGAGCGACAGAGTGAGACTCTGTCTCAAAAAAAAATAAAACATAATAAAGCAACAAGAATTCCGAAGAAGGGAGGGAGGGAGGGAGGAAGGAAGGTTGGTTATGTTTAAGTCTACAGTGACGAAAAGAAAATTAAGGGAGAAGAAGGAACAGGTATTCTGCTAAGGAAAACCCAGGAAACTAGAAATCTAGCACTCAGAAATAATAAGGATGACAGAGGAAGACTATGAAACAGGGCTAACTAAAACTTTGGAATTGCAAATAGTAACTTTTTACCTCCTCTATATCTCCATGGCCCACAACTGTGGAACACGCTCAGCAGTGTCAAGCATCTAACCCATGGCAAATAATTTTCACTAAAGACACAGACAACCTCAAAGAATTCTGCTTTCTAGGCTTCAGAGTCCCTGGGAAAAAGGTCAGCTCTCAACCCTATTATCCTGAGGCTAGGCCAGTGTATCCCTTACAGTTCACTTTTTATTACTGAAGTCTGAAGCCAGAACACTTCAGAATGAATGAAAAAGCTTGCAAAAGTTTGTGTTCATGACAAAATTAGGTAATAGAAAGTGCAGGCACCTAGAAGCAGAAGTAATGCATTTCATCACCAAGTTTGTGGCTTTGCCAAGCAAGTGTGATAAAGCAAAAGAGGGGCAGAGGAACTGAGAATGTATGCAAAAATTGACGATAAAAACTGAACTCAGAATTTAGGTATAATCTACTCTTTCCTCTTTAATGGATCATTTTCATCGCCATAAAATCATGATATTCCTGTGTCTTAGGAAAAAAACTTTCTCGCTTTCATCTCCCCAGTTCAGCTACTATCCCATTTCTCTCCTTCTGAAAGCAAAGATGTGTTTATTCACACAAGCCCTCTCTTCCAATCCTGTTAAACACATTTCCATACTTTTCACCAACATCATTCTTATAAACAATAAACATGTTACTAAATCCAATTATCAATTCTCAGTTCTCATCTTATTTGTCCTATCAGCAGCATTTGATATAGCTGACCACATCCTCTTCTTAGAAATTTGTTTTCTGCCAACCTCACTGACCACTTCTAAGTTTCCTTTAAAGGAATGCCCAGGGCTTAGTCCTTTCTCATCCTCTACTCACTACAGTCTCTTCCTTCGTGATCTCTTCTAGTCTTGTAATTACTCAACATTTCCATTTGGATCTCTAATAATATTGCCAACTCAACATACGCAAAACTAATCTGACCTTCCCTTCCAAGTGTGCTCTACCCTAGCTTTCCCATCTAAGTTAAAGACAATTCTGTCTCCAGTTGCTCAATCCGAAAGCTTAGCTTCATCCTCGTCTCCTGTCCTACATCCAATACATCAGGAAGTCTTGATAATTCTACTTTCAAAATATATCCAGAATCTGATCACTTTACCACATCTACTATGGTCAAGCCAACAATGTCACTAGTCTCCCTTCTATCTCTCATGCCCCCTACAGTCTATTCTCAACACATCTTTAGTGATCCTTTTCATACATTGGGGGATAGAAGGATAAAACACCTTAGGTAGATTTTTGCCACCACTCTGCTCAAGGCTCTGTGCTGCTGCCCATTTCAATGGCATAAAGGGCCCTAGGGGAATACCCCCAGCCCTTAATTCCCTGACCACATCTCCTGTCTACAACTCTTCTCACTCACCCTGCTCTGATGCACTGGCTGGGCCTCCTAGCTTTCCTCCAACACAACAGGCTCTCACCTTAGTGCCTTTGCATAAGCTGTTTCTTTTGCCTGAAATGTGCTTCTGCCAGATATCGCAATAACTAACTCCATCGCTTCCTTGGCTCAAGTATCACTTTTTCAATACTACCCATCCCAACCATCCTATTTAATATTGCAAACTACCTCCAGACCCTAGCATACCCATTGCCCCTTCCTGAATTTACTTTGTCTTCTTCCAAAGAACTTACTGTCTTCTAAAATGGATGATTCAAAAATAACTGAACAAGCTGGGTGCAGTGACTCACATCTGCAATCCCAGCACTTTTGGAGGCTAAGGTGGGAAGACTGCTTGAGCCTAGGAGTTCAAGAACAGCGTGGGCAACATAGCAAGATCCCATCTTTACAAAAATTAAAAAAAAAATTAACCAGGAATGGTGGCATACACCTGTAGTCCCAGCTACTCAGAAAACTGAAATGCAAGGACCACTTGAGCATGGGAGGTTAAGGCTGCAGTGAGCTGTGTTCATACCAGAGCTTTAGCCTGGGTGACAAAGCAAGACCCTGTCTCAAAAAATAAGTGAAATAAAAATAACTAAACATTTTTGCTCTGGTCTGAATGTTTATGTGCCTCCGAAAACCCCTATGTTAAAATACTAACCCCCAAGTGACAATATGAGAAACTGGAGCCTTTGGGAGATAAATAGGTTATAAGGGTGGGACCTTCATGAATGGGTTTGGAGTTCTTATTAANAAAAAACAGGCATTCCATTCCAAGGCCTCTGTGTGCCTGCGGAGTAGCCATCACGAGCAAAGCTCACCCTCCCGAGTTGAAAAAATTTATGGACAAGAAGTTATCATTGAAATTAAATGGTGGCAGACATGTCCAAGGAATACTGCGGGGATTTGATCCCTTTATGAATCTTGTGATAGATGAATGTGTGGAGATGGCGACTAGCGGACAACAGAACAATATTGGAATGGTGGTAATGCAAGGAAATAGTATCATCATGTTAGAAGCCTTGGAACGAGTATAAATAATGGCTGTTCAGCGGAGAAACCCATGTCCTCTCTCCATAGGGCCTGTTTTACTATGATGTAAAAATTAGGTCATGTACATTTTCATATTAGACTTTTTGCTAAATAAACTTTTGTAATAGTCAAAAAAAAAACAAAAACAACCCTAAAAAATAAGCTTTTTTCCTTGCACCATGTGAGCACACAGTGAAAAGGCACCATCTATGAATCATGAAACAGATCCTCACCAAATGTGAACCTGCCAGTGCCTTGATCTTAAACTTCCCAGCCTCCCGAACTGTTACAAATAAATTTCTGTTGTTTATGAAATAAACATCTGGCCGGGCACAGTGGCTCACGCCTGTAATCCCAGCACTTTGGGAGGCGGAGACAAGTGGATCACCTGAGGTCAATAGTTTAAGACCAGCCTGGCCAAGATGGAGAAACCCCATCTCTACTAAAAACAGAAAAATTAGCCAGGTGTGGTGACAGGTGCTTGTCATCTCAGGAGGCTGAGGCAGAAGAATCACTTGAACTTGGGAGACAGAGGTTGCAGTGAGCCAAGATCACACCATTGCAATCCAGCCTGGGCAACAGAGTGAGATTCCATCTCAAAAAAATATAAAATTAAATTTAAAAGTTCTCATAAAATTTGATGGTAAAGAGAAAAATAAAAAGAAAAGAAAGAAACATCTGTTCTTTATAAGCTACCTACTCTACGGTATTTTGTTACAGCAGTCCAAATAGACTAGGACAACTCTGAAAATTGTCATTACTGAATAACCAGTTATATACAAACCTGCGTCAAAACCAATTTTTGAGAGAACAATCAGTTTATTCCTATAAATTTACAAATGCTCAATATATGCCACATCGTAATACATACATTAATGCCACAATGTACTTTATGCCAGACCCTTAACAGTTTATCACAATTGTTTACTACAAAGCAACCAAAATAGATTATTTCCTCAAGGTTGTGGGGAAAATATGGTAAAAATCCAAGGTTCTTGATATAGCCACATAAAACTCACATGGTATAATAGCTAAGACTTCAGTAGCCACTATTTCACTCTTTTTATTTATACAATAACAGACAACTTATTTAACAATGTGTATTGACTATTATCTATCTCTTTCCACTGGAATTAAAGCTCCAGGAGGGCATGGAGCTTTGTTTTCCTCACGAAATGCCTCCCAAGTATCTAGAAGAATGTCAGCATACTGCAGGTGCTAAATAAATTTTTTAATAAGCAAATGAATACTTTCAAGTTTTCTTTTGAAAAAATTTTACTACACAAGAAAGAAAGTCTTCATTTTTAAAAATCCAGTAATAATGACAGATATGGTATACGGGTATACAGTATCTCTCTCAATTTCCCTCTACTGTGCCTTCCTATACCATAGGAACTTGAAAGATTAAAAACTAAAAAGCATTTTCCAGATTCACCTGCACCCTGCAGCTAAACTTCCAGATGTAACTTAAGTCCACCAAATTCATCACTTGTGAGAGATTTAGAAGATGAGCAAAAGCTGCCTGATTATAAAGGAAAGCACAGATGCAGACACATTCAGTTTTTCTATAGCAATGTAAGAAGAGGTCCCAGAGTCTAATCCAGGGATTCTCAATCTGGATTCCACAAGATATTGAAGATACTGCTTCAGTTCTTTGAGAGATCAGAAATTTAACAAAAAGAAGAAAGAAAAAACCCTTTAACTTTTGTGCATCAAGCAATGGCAGTATTGACAGTAAATGAACAACCTCATTAACAATTTTGTTAGAAATCAGCCATATGTAGTAGTGCACAGTAAGACCATGTTTATTGGGATACAGTTGTCCTTGATAACTAACTGGAGGTTGCTTTGCATGGGGAGATGGCAGGGTGCTAATGAACATCAGCCTCTCCCTCTCAAATTACCTCCCCAAACCTCCCCGTAGGTACCACCAACTGCTTGATAAGAGCAAATAAGCTCTACAAGTGTAATGGAAAATCAGAAAGAAATTTTAATTCTAATGAAAAGGCCAGCCACAGTGGCTTACCTGTAATCCCAGCACTTTGGGAGGCCAAGGTGGGAGGAATGCTTGAGCCCAGGAATTTGAGACTAGCCTGGGCAATATAGTGAAACCCTGTTTCTACAAAAAATTAAAAAATTAGGCTGGGTGCGGTGGCTCACACCTGTAATCCTAGCATTTTGGGAGGCCGAGGCGGGCGAATTACCTGAAGTCAGGAGTTTGAAACCAGCCTGGCCAACATGGCAAAACCCCGTCTCTAGTAAAAAATACAAAACAAAATAGTCGGATGTTATGGCACATGCCTGTAATCCTGGCTAACTGGTAGGCTGAGGCAGGAGAATTGCTTGAACCCAGGAGGCAGAGGTTGCAGTGAGCTGAGATCGTGTCACTGCACTCCAGCCTAGGTGACAAAGCAAGACTCCGTCTCAAAAAAAAAATTAGCTGGTGTGGTGCCATGCATCTATGGTCCCAGCTACATGGAGGCTGAGGTAAAAGGATCACTTGAGCCTGGAAGGTTGAGGCTACAGTGAGTCGTGTTCACGCCACTGAACTATACAACCTGAGTAACAGAACAGACTCTGTCTCAAAAAAAAAAAAGGAAATATTTACATCTTGCAACTCAGTTACCCCCAATGCTTTGCTATTTTGTGCAAACTATGCAAAATATGGACAAAATTACAATGGAGTTATACAATGAAAATTTAGTTTTGTGATTTTTCTCAATTAGTTTTTTGTTATGGTCTTATGTCTTATACATTAACATCTGCAGTTTACAAATGCCTGATAATCCAATGTGGCAATTTCTGAGGATGAAGTGTGAGAAAAGGGCCAAAGGAAAATTCTGGTAATTGGTAAAAAACTATCTAGTGAGTCATTTCATGGCACTAGTGCATCAAGAGACACATGAAACAAGTCCCTCTTTACAATGAAAGCTACTTATCAGTGGATGTATACATGGGCTGTTAACTAAGTTTTTCCTAAACCATTTCGTGTTGTCTGTGGAAAACAACTTTACAAATACAGCAATGGTTCCAGCAAAATTCAAAAGACACTTAAATACAAATTATATTCATTTGACAGGTTAAATGTCAATATTCTCTTAGATATATACCCAAATGTCAAATGTACTGTAATCTCAAAACAAACAGAATAAAGATTTTGTTAAAAAAAAAAAAAAAAATCAGTGAAAACGCTGAAGCAGCAAGTTACACAGTAGTAGAATTTATTGCCTAAAAAAGGGAAAGTCACACAATTAGTGGCGAGAATCTACTATAATAAAAAATGTAAAATTACACTGAGTAAAAGATCAGTAAAATGCTTACATGAGATACAGAAAGAGAAACTAAAAATGTTCGATAGTACATGTCAAGCGTCCCAAATCCAAAAATCTGAAATCCAAAGTGCTCCAAAATTTGGCCAGGCACGGTGGCTCACGCCTGTAATCCTAGCACTCTGGGAGGATGAGGTGAGCAGATCAGCAGAGGTCAGGAGTTTGAGATCAGCCTGGGCAACATGATGAAACCCCATCTCTACAAAAAATTAAAAATTAGCCAGTCATGGTAGGAGACACCTGTAATCCCTGCTATTCAGGAGACTGAGGCAGGACAATCACTTGAACCCAGGAGGTGGTTACAACGAGCCAAGATTGCACCACTGCACTGCAGCCTGAGCAACAGAGGGAGGCTTCCTCTCAAAAAAATATAAGCAAACCTGACTTCACAACACAGTGTTTTCTTCACAGAGAGATGCTGGTGTCAAAAGCCCTAGGAGATGAAATTTTTAAAGCTCTAATTGAAGCTCCCAAAAAAGTATTAACTGCTATACAAAAACCTATTCATTCAAAAATGTTTAAAGAACTGTGTAAAAACATGGACGAAGAGCACATAAATCTACTACATACAGAAATACAGTGGCTTAGCAGAAGAATTCTCAACAGGTGTCTAAGCTGAAAGATGAATTCCAGGAGTGCTTTCACAAACACAGTGGGCCAGATTTTGCCAAATATTTTTAGAATGAAGAATGGCCCAATCTGCAAACATCTGTTATCACATGAAGTAACTGAACAACTCTCTGCAAGGTGTTACAGAAAATATTTTTAAGGCCAGTTGTGGTGGTTCACACTTGTAATCCCAAGTGCTTTGGGGAGACTGAGGCAGGAGGATCACTTGAGGCCAGGAGTTCTGGACAAGCCTGGGTAACATGGCGATACCTCCATCTCTAGAAAAAATTTAAAAATTAGCTTGGCATGGTGGCATATGGCTGTAATCGCAGCTACTTGGGAGGATGAAGCAAGTGGAATCCCTGAGCCGAGGAGTTCAAGGTTGCAGTGAGCTATGACTGCATCTATACTCCAGCAAGACCGTGTCTCAAAAAATATACATATAGTTACTTCAAGTGACAAGAATCTTGGGGAAAAAGAAATCCTATGATCAAAAAAAAAAAGGAAATCTTAAAATGTTTCCATTGTTTCTTGCACTTGAGAGTGAAAATGTTTATCTGCAAATCTCAAATCTTGTTGACATAGAAGAAAAATATTAAAAAGGAAAAGTAAATAGTATTTCCCTTTTCTTTTCTTTTCAAATAAGTATAAGACTGAGAAAGGAATCCTGTCTCTGAATCTTATGCTCAGGCTGAGAACCTGACTTTGAGGAGGAAGAATTTTGTGTGCCGCATTATATGTTCTTGATTACACACTCAAGAGGAGATTTACTGATCTGCCCCTAAAAAAGTTATGGATTTCTCTGAACCAGTAATGTCTTGCCAATCATAGGAAAGTAATGAACATTTAGCTGCAGGTTTTCAACTTCTTAAGTTTTTTCTTACTTAGCAAGCACCTAGAGCAAGGAGGAACTGTCTCATGTCAGATGAAAATGAAAACCGTGAATGCTTATCTCAAATTAAGCAAAACAAAAATAGGTTTTATGTGAACAAGATAAACTTCATTCCTTTAGTTTTAAAAGGTAATTTTATTGTATACATTAGAGCCTATAAAACATGAAAAAAATCAAAACACAAATATTTTGTTAACTTGTGGACCTATATTTGAGCCTCACCATGTCAGTCAGTTAAAAAAAAAAAAAAAAAGAGTAGGCTTATTTCAAAATCTTACATAAATTACGTCTTGGACTA